ATAGTAAAGAATTTTATATTTTGAATAAAAGAATTATAAAGTTTTAATAAAGTAAAGTTAAAGTTGTTAAGTAGTAATAGAGTGTATTATAATAAATTATTGCTTAGTTCAAAAAGTTTGTTATGGTATATTTCCTCAATAGGGTGGGATAAATTAGTATTTGAGATAGTAGTAAAACTTCTATAGATTCGCTCGCCATATATCTGGTTCTTACAGTTGTGCAGAAATCTAAAGTTTGCTTTGTATATTAAGTCTGACCGTCATTAATATTGGTCGTTAGCTAATAAAGTTGGTAAATTAATAGGTGATAAAGGACAGGTTTGGGGAGAGGGTGTGAAAGAGTTTGATAAGTTTGTGTTAAGACTTGGTAAGATATAGAGGTTAGTATTGTATAAGGTGAAAGCAGGTGTTTGTAAAGATGCAGATGAATTAATGAAGAGAGAGTCATCAATAGCAGTTGGTATAAAGGAGTTATTGTTCATAGTTTGTGTGTAAGATTTGAGAGAGATATATCTGAACTAGTTAAGTAAGTCTTGGAAAGGAGAGAGAAAGTGGTTTGAAAGTGAGAAAGTTTCATTAGGTAAATAAATGTGTGCTTCTTCATAGTTGTTATCATTATCTTTTTTGTTAAGAATTGAAATTTTGATATGTTGAGGTGAATAGTATGAAGAAAATTCATTGAAGATATAATGTAAAAAGGTGTGAATTGTTTGTGGATGTATAAGTAGAGATAGTTTATAATAAAAGAAAAATTTATTGTAGCATGTAAAAAGGTCTATAGTTCTGAGCATTTCTGTTACTTGAGTAATTGTTTTATAGGAGAAGTGGTTTGATACATGATAATCTTCACTATTATATTCTTCTTCCAATATTACTTCGTATGATTAGTATAATGTGTCAGAAAGTTGATCATTGTTGGTGTTTAGTGTAGTAGGTGGATTATAAGAGGTTAAAGATATTGAAGATGATACCACCAGAGAATTGTCTTTTGCATTGGTTACTATATACCCAGCTCACATGGTTCTACAAGAGTTAGCAACAATCAGGTTGGATGTTAGAGAGTTGTTTAATCTTAACCCTTCCGAATACTAAATTTAATACTTTAGCCAAACAGATACCTATTAATATTAAAAAAATGCTCATGTAAAATTATGTGATTATATAAAGTTTGTGATTATATAGGAGGTGATTAAATGGGAACATGTCATATATATTTTTCCTTTATAAATAATTCCAATTCTATAATAATTAAATAATAAAACTTATAATATAATACTTTAGAGGCATTGTGAATATACCTATAATAAAAAAATAATATAATTATTATATTCAAAATTATGGGTTTTGAGTTTAAAAATTAAATAGTTTTTAAAATCAAAATTTGATTAATAATAATAGTTAGGCTATACAAACTGAATTTTCTGGTTCTCATAACCTGGCGGGTCATATTTTGAAAATTATTGAAAAAAATTTTTATGTTTTAATAGTTGGGTAAGATTTCAAAAAAAAATTTTTTTAAAAATTTTATAAATTTAAAATTTTTTACATATAAAATTTTTAAATAAAAGTTTGGGCGGGTGGGTCATTTTTTTTGTCTCATGTTATGAGAACCAGAAAATTCAGTTTGTATAGCCTTATATGCAATAAATTTTTAAAAATTTTATTAAATAAAGAAATCCTTAAGTTTTCAAATGAATATATATATTTATTTGATTCTGATTGATGGTTGATTTTTAAAAAATTTTTTTGAGTGGGGAAAAAATTTTGTCACCCCCTTATAATATATATTAGATATAAGACCCGGTTTCAATTCTTGTGAATTTTTCAGGGTCCTAAACATTTTTACTTAAGATATCCGATCTCGTTTACTTAATATGTTTTCGAAATATGGCAATAACACGGTGTTATAAATATAAGTTTCCTTTTTTTAAATATATTTTTTTAAAAATACAGTATATATTATATTTACCCGTGAAAACAAAGATATTTTATACTAATAGCCATTATGCTGAAGAAAATGTAAAGTTGAATTTAGTAAACTAATGGATAATTGTTGAGATGATGGAATATCGGATGGGTTGTCGGCCGCTTTCCATTGCGAGATAGCAGGTGGGTGAACATCAAATGAGTTGACTTTCTTATCTTTGACTACTACACTAAGAGAATAATCAATCGTCCCACGTGGGATCACAGGATCAACGAGCTCTATTAGTTTGCGAGCACCAGAATACGAAACTGCATAAGCATGTGTACACATAGGAGCCACGGATTTATATAGCCTATGTACAGAAGAACTAATTCCGACTTGTTCACCAACATCTTCAAAGCAATGGCCTACGTACAACATTTCCCAAGAAGCAGGTAAATCACGATGAATATCAGTCATAATAGCAGTAATGTTGAGTTCAAAGTCCACATCATCTTCTAAAATTAAGGCATTATTATAGCCCTTATCAATTATTTCTTTATAGATAAAACAATGGCTTAAATAACAAGCTTTTTGAGGAGAGATCATATCTGCGGATCCATACTTGCGGAGAATTTGTTCATCGTTTTTAGAAATAGCAGACAAATAATCAAAGTCTAAACCAAGATAGGAAGCTAATTCATCTAATCTTTCACGCCTATCCGTTCGATAGTCAAGATGGACAATGTAAATATGGTCAAAGCCAAGTGTGCGATTAGAGGATTTAAATGGTTTTTGTAAATTTAAATTTTCGGAATAATCAAATAATGGCCCTAACCAGAAACTTAAATATATTAATAATATAATAATTAGGAAACCGATATATATTTTTATCGCATATTTTCTATTTTGGTGACGTTTTAGCGTAGCTATTAACGAATAATAAGAATTCATGTTTCAATCAATAGTTGTTGAAACATTCGAAAAAGGCCATTTTATATTATCGCTCTTTTCGATTTAGTTGGATTGCAGATTTTTTTTTTTTTGTTCATGAGTTCCATGTAATACATGCATCCTGCATGTCATAATTAAATTTGTAATTCTGTTATTATTTTTTGATAAGCTCAAATAAATATTATGCGCAGGTATATGCATATATGAAACTCACTTATTCATGAAATTCAGTCAAAAAATCTGCATACGTACGTGTGCTCGTATTGTACGTCCAATTTCAGTACTAAGGTCTTACTAATAATCATTTGCACAAAATAAACAAATAATTTTTTAATTATTTAACGCATTAAACTGTGATGCAATTTTTATACATATATGGTTTAGTCTTAATATTAAGTAGGTCTAATTTGATAAACCGGTTATGAGGAAAACGTACCAGAATATTACCAATATTCCTACACCCATAAGAAATTTTGAAAGACAAAAAAACGATTTTCCTGCACTATTGGCCTCTCAGAGTTTCTTTCTAGTTTGTTAACCTGTTTTTAATATTCAGTAATTTTGTTTTGAATTTTTTACCGGGTTGATGAAATGATAATCAATTACCCGCATAAAAATTCGCAAAATTTCATTAGCTGCAGATCGTCAACGTATTTTTTCGATTAAAAAATTAGCTTTCAGACGATGTTAGGAGGAGCCTTATATATAACAAAATTTTGCAAGGAATTTTTTTTTAATGCGCAGGTGGTTTTATAATCAAAATTTTATGGACGATTTTTTGATAGTTTTCACGTTACACCTGATACTGTGTCGTAATTGGCATAAAGTACGTTTCCGCATACATTTTATGCGGTTACTAAGACTCAAACGAAAAGTTGGAAGATTTAACGAAAGATAATTTGAAGATCATTTCTAAATCTACAAAGCTAATGACGCATTTAAAATATTAGATTATAATTATACAGATACTACTAAATGTTAATTTCATTTAAGCAGATTATATTACGTATCATGCATCATTTATTGATTCAAAATAACAGTTGAAAATTTATTTCATTATGAAATTGTGGACCTTTTTTTGTGGTCTTCTTTTTTTTTAGTTAGGCTAGAATTAGGAGATAGTTTTATTAATAGAGTATATGTGGATTTTAGTAGGTATTATAGGTTTAAATAGAGACCCCAAATTCCCCATAATTAATTACGAATTACCGTAGTGCACTGACTAGTATTGCTTGCTGCAAATATGAAGTGCAACTTTTTTATTGCGCCACTAGGGTTGCGACTTATCGTCGCAATAGAATTTGACATCAGTTGTATAACATTAATGACTTATTTTGTAATAATTACAACATAAATAAGCTGTAAATATTAAGTGGCGACATTGCAGCAGGCAACACTAATTGCATGTTCTTAAAATTGAAGGTGTAAATTCTATATTGAATATTGAGCAAATTGTAATACTACTATATGTGGAAATTAATTCGACCGTAAAATTATATGAATTTATATCTTCACGAATATCAATATAGGAAAACCATAATTTTCAAAAATTTTAAAAATTTAAAAATATAATAATTCATAAAGATTATGATTTATTCAAATCTAATGATATGATTAAGCCCATAAAAGAAAATATTTTTCCTTGAAATATTTACTGTATAACATTTTTACATTGCCTTTTTACATACATACAAAATATGCTAGTTTAGCTCACCATCAATTTAAAATTCCCAGCTAATAGTAGCTTAAATTTTAATTTGTATCAACAAAACTTGACGACAAAAATGCCAACTACCACCTGATGAAACGCTTATTTGATAATTATAAAGCCTATTCACTATCGCTATATCGCTACATCGCTACGTATTACTATATTATTACTTAATAATCACAGTTAGCATCAACAATAAACCCCTTAACAGCACGTGAGTGTTCAATGCTAATAAATCGACAATCCAAAACACCACGAAAATGAGAATAAATTTTATCATAAGTATAATCTTCTTCCGGAAGCACAACGGGGGTGATAGGTTTGTAATCTTTAGGAATAGGCATATACTTTTCAACGTAAACTTGCTTGCCGAAAGGACGATCTTCAGAGGAATGATCATATGCACAGAATGCAAAGAATGAAATAATGACTATAAGTAACGGCCAGATTAAAACCTTCATGGAAGAATTGTTGTTGTATAATTTTGTACGAGTCACAAATTTGTCAAAGAAAGGTAAATTGCTTATGATACTTGCAATGGAAATGGATGTGGAAGAGAAAAGAAAGCTATTCAGGTAAGCAATAAAAGTAGTCATACATGATAAAGGAATCAAGGCATAAGAACAAAGATTAATTAAAGGATGAATAAAGCGAAATTTTACAACAACGTGTTGAGTTCGTGTGAGACCATCAAAGAAAATTAACCAGACGTTTCTTAAGAGAATAATCATAACGCAAGTAACGATAATAATCATTGTTGAACAAGTAGACCATTTTGTTCGTGACATTTGATAATTATTGATAGCAGGACCGATAAGTAAATCAAAATCTTGAATCATTTCCGAAACCATCACATTTTCGTCAATATAAAAATCGAGATCACTAATGTCACTACAATCACTTAAGATATCATCATCATCATCAGTGTCCATTTTATCATCAAATTCATCATCAGAATCGATGGTTAATTGAGAACTTCGAAGGGAATTTTGCGTACAGTCATAAAAAGATACTTGTCTTGAATAATCTTCAGTACCCAAAGTTCCAAAATTGATAGTATTTTTAAAATCACACATACGTTCCTGTGAGTGAGGAATTGAGGAAGACTGTACACCCGATATATAATCTCTTAGAGCAATTACAAAACTTTTAGGAATGTAAGGAGATGTTGGATCAGGGATGTCCTTGTTTTCATAAACTACAGAATCATTTAGCGTATCTTGACTCAAATAAACGGTATCTTTATTCAAATAGGAATCTAATAAAATATATTTTTTTAAAAGAAAAAATTTTAATAATTTTAATACGTATTCTTAACAAGATCAACCAGAAAAAAAAAATGTTTATTCACGCTTATACATTAACAAAACAATTAAAGCTCACCATTTGATTCCATGAATCTTATATTCTCGATCATTTGAAGTAAAATTACTAATGATGAAAAATTATGAATTGACATTTGAAGCATCAACATTAAAAATGATTGAAAAATGATTGAAAATGATTAAAAGAACCCACAAACGTATTATCGCGGTGAAATATTAATAATAAATACCTGTAATAACTAATAACTAATAACTAATAGTAAGAATCTTTTTGATAAATGATAAATCTTCAAAATATGGCTTCTTCTCAAAAGATGATATATAACAATTTCTCATTCGTTAGAGAATCAACACAAAATTCATATTTCGTTATTTTCAGAGAATATAAATCATCGGCAACCTTTTAATAATGGATAATCTTTATGAAGGCCTACAAATTCATGCTTATTCAACGTGTAGGTTCACTTATACAGTAATAATACAAATTCATTATTTGCAAAATACTGTACTTACCCAAGGTAAAAAATTTAAAAATCACTCTTCATTCATTAAAGCACATCATTATGTAGATGATCTTGTCACACAAATATGAAAATCAATAACGATAATACTTTAATAAGCCAATAGAAAGAAAATCAAAAAAAGCCTTATTGTATACAAATCCTGCGTTTAATTATTTATGATTAATTATTATGTATATTTTCACATGTTAAATTTACTTTTAAAAAACCAATGTGATTTTATCGTTATCGTTATTAGTTGTATCCAAAAGACGAGCTTCCCTTTTAGTAAAAATTACATTCACATACAATTGCCACAAAAAACGCCCAATGATGAAAATTTACCTACGTACTTAGTGTTTGAAGTTCTCTCATTTCCTAGTTTGACGCGTACCCATCTTTTTTTATGCCACTTACGTACTGTACGTACGTACGTACGCACACAAAGACCGTTTCATAAAATTTATTAAAAACACTAACTACTAATAATAAAAATATATATATCTGTATATACGTACGTACCAAATATCGGTATGTTAATAAAGACTAATTAGACCCACGTTTTTTGATTTGCAAAATTTTTTAACAATGGTCCTAACCTAGTACGTATAATTTAGAGTTTATTAATTAATTATTACGTATCCATAAAATTAATACGTACGTATTAAAAATATGCTATCTGCTATTAACGAGTACTTATTGGCATTAGTTCAAATATTTAACGATCACATTTTAAAGGTTATCTATTACTCTATTACCCAAATATCAAAAAACACTATCCCATTAAATCATTGTTACCAACGGAACAACATTGGATTCGTAAGAATGTGAAAATGCAACAATGGCACTTTAATTAATTAAAATGATATATTTGGTTAATTTGCAAAGGCTATTTGTTTTTATTTACCTTTTTTTGTTCAAGTAATAAATCATATAATACGTATGTAGATTCCAGGAATGCAATTAAATTTTAGACACGTGTTGTTGCTATGCACGCCTTTAGCAATTTACAGGCTCATTAAAGACATTTATGCATGTAATAACTATGTATCATATGTGAGATAAAAGGATGGAGACCGAATAAAGAGGTATAATTGTGCTTTCCCATAATAATAATAATAAATTAGTGATTTTTACCGGTTAAATTTATGGCCTTTTTTTTTCTTTTAAATATCAAAATTTTTTAAAATCAACTTTTTAATACTATATAAATTGTTCTACA